CTGGATCAAGCCAGGGCCCTTCTCAGTACTCACATTAACAAACATGATCTCATTTATTAAGGGCTTAGCACGTCTCTCTTTCTCTCAATTGATCAAATTTTTGCAAAACTCGAGGAATTCCTTCCTCTTTGTTTTCACCGCAGTGTTAGAAAAAGTTTTGAAAAGCTTAGGTCAATACAATGATTTCAAGGCACAGAAGAGCAGGTGAAGAGAACTGTCGTTTCATTCAAGTTTCTGGCACGACCGGCACAAGGCAGAAGCAAGCACAAAAGCATGAAAAACCACTGCTGTTTCATTCAAATCTTCTGGTGTTACTAGCTTCTCGACAGAAACAGACTCAAAAGGAAGCGAAAAGACAAACACAAAACAAAATAGTGATATCTGAGGTAATGCCCCCGGGATCACCCGACTCTAACAAAACAAGACTGACTCGATACAACAAGACAGACCCAACTGACACAGTACAAAAAGACTGACTATGCACAAAATAACAAAACTGGCCCAATACCCAAGTCAGAAAATACAAAAACTAGCATTTACAAATGCTCAAAACAGTGCGCGCCATACACCACATCTAGAGTAAACTGAGCGCCGCCCGCAAGTGGTTTCCCCCCTGATCACATCACATTATCCCCCACAAGTTCACTGATCAAGTGCCGATAGACTTGGCTGAGCTGGTGCGGCGATGACCTTGTTGTCAAACAGATCTTGTACATCTTGGCGAAGACGAAAGCAACTGTCAGTGTCATGACCGGTTTATTGATGGTAGGCACAGTATTTAGTGTGGTCATGCTTTGGAGGGATAGGATTGGGTAGAGGCCGTTGTTCCAATGGTTTCAGATATCCCTTCCGGAGTAAGGCCTCTAGAGCCTTTGTGTAGACACCCTATTTTTGACCGTCCTCAAGACTTGGATGCCACCGCTCGAACACTGAGTGATCATCCATGTTCGTGTTCGTTTTGAGTTCCCAGAGGCCTTGGTTGCGCACCTTGCCTCAGGATCTCTCAACTTGTCCGTCTTGCGTTTGGTTTCGCACCAAATACTTGTGTTTTGCTTTGAGGGGTAGGGAATGGCTTGTTGACCATCCCCACACCCCATCGGCCTTCCTTTTGCATCACCGGCCATTAATTGCTGACACTGGCCATGGTTTCTTAATACCAATGGCCGATTGGCACTCAATATGGCCGACCGGCTATCTGTTTGGCCGGCGACCTCCTTTTTTGGCCGGTAACACCTTTTTGCCTTCTTCAGGCATGGTGCATGCCAGCTGTGCCAGCTGGAATACACCAAACCTACCCCGGGGCTAACATGTGGCTGTTTTGCCCCTTTTCCCCCCTTTTGGTCAAAGCTTCTTGAGGAAGCTTGACCCTTTGTCAAAGCTTCCTCAAGAAGCTTGGCCAGCTGTCTTAGCTTCCTCAAGAAGCCTTGACCTCCTTGCCCCCTTTTACTTAGCTTCTTTGAGAAGCTTAGAACCTTTTCTTTTGCCTATATAAGCACCTCTCTTCTTCCATTATAGAGGGTTAGAGATTTTGAACAAAAAACTAGAGATTATACATATATACATCTGTCATATACTCTCTCTCTCTCTCTATATTTCCCTCTCTCTCATCCTTAGTGTGTGTTTGGAGGCCTAGAATGTGTGTTTTGACCTTAGTTTTGCACTAAGACACACACCATTACACCTTGCTTCGACCTTGAGGGGCTTTGAGGGTTTGTTTTTGAAGTTCTGGACTGATTTTGGTCAGAAGAGAGTGGCTGGACCAGCTGTTCTTGAAGTGTTCTTCAAGGGTAAGACTTTTTCTTTATTTTCCCCAATCTTGCATTAGTTTTTGACCTACCTTGCATGCTGATTTAAGCTTTGTGTATAACATAAAAAAGTCTTGTATTTTCATGCTTGAGATCTTTCATTAAGGGGTCGACCTCCCCATCTTAGGCCTTGTTTGGCCCTTTTGGTGCTTTCTTTCTTAAGCTTTGGTTACTCTTGAGTCTTGGCCTTCTCACCACTGAAATCCAGTGGATTTTCAGTGGTAAAGAAGGGGTTTTGAGGTCTTGTAAAGGAGAGGGACACCCCTCTCCCTTGGTCTGTCATCTTGCTCATGTTTTGGCTCATAAGGGTAGCATGTATGCTTGGTTGTATTTGGCCCTATTTCAGAGGTTTTTGGGTGTTATTTGGGCATATCTTACCTCTGTTTTTGGTCGGATTTGTGGTCCCTTACACGCTTAATACACTTGCTTTGTACTCCCCCATTTTGCCTAGAAATGCATCTAGCCATTAGACCATCGTGCTTGCATATTCTTGCCTAGCTTTGTGAAGATTTTGGCCATGATTTATCATGATTGAGGTCTGTTGGGTGCTAGGTTGGTCATCTTTGATATGTTTTGTGTAGCCTCTTTGCATTTTGGCTTGTAAGCCTTGAGGGTGTGAGTCATGAGCATGCTTGAGTTGGGTTATTTAGGTGATTTGGAGTCGTTTCCCATGTTATTTCAGTCCATAATCCATGCTTATATGCTTGCATTCATCATCTCTTTCATGCTTTGAAGGGTTGTTCCTTTGTGCCTTGGAAATGAGCATTGTGCATGCCTAAATGTTTAAGCCTTCGGGGCTGCCATATCAGAGGGTTTTAGGACTTATTTCAATGCATCTAAACTCTGTTTTTGGTTGTGTAGCTCATGCCATGTTGGCTTGGGGTAGTGGTGGTAGAATACTCCTTGGTTATGCCTTAATCTTGGGCCTATTGATGAATGCTTACATGAGTATTTGTTCATCATTTTAGGCACCTTTTGTCACTGTTTTGGGAGTGGGTTGAGGTCTGCCCTTTGTGTCTTAGGTCCACCATTGCATGATCATATTGCATTGGTTTCATGTTTGCATTGTATCATACTTGCATGCTTGCATATTATTAGCTAGTTGCATTTCATGTCTTAGCTTACATGTTTGATTGCATTGCATTGCATTGCATCTTACATGCGTAGCATTGTACCTTTGCATGTTTAGCTTGCATCACATTTGGCATGTTTTGCATCTTAGCCTCATGTTGCATCTTTGAGCCAAGTTTGTATACATACATTGCATTGTTTGGTTTGGGGTGTCAAACCAAACTTAAGGGGTGAGGAGTGTTCGTACTCCAAGTGACGAAACACACCTCAACCCTCGGTCACCGAGGCCCTTGACTTCAACATGATAGGGTCTTGGTCCTCATTTGTGTGTTACGTAGGTTGAGAAATGGTGTGGCGGCTGTCAGGCTACAGAAAGGCCTTTCGAGATCCATGAAGCTCATTATTCTGATGCCATCTACTTCACCGAACTGGCTGTCGAAGAAGTTCCCACCACCTCTAAGCCTCGAGGGGTCAAAATTCCTCGTTGGGAGGATATCAAAGATGACAAGGAGCCGATGGCAGAGTCAAGTAAGCGGGCGATGTCTAGACCAGAAAGTCCGCCTATTCCTCGGAAGGTGATGAAAGTCCGAGAATGAGGCAAGATGGTGTACTATTTATGAAGGTGCGGGGAGGTTCAAACCACGTCCTCCGACTGAGAGAATTCTCTAAGTCCCTCACCGACCGAGCATATAGTTGGTATGTTAATTTGGCCCCAAACTCTGTCCGAAGTTGGGAGGAAATGGTTAACAAATTCCACTCCAAGTTCTTTCAAGTGGCGGAGAAGGTGACCACACAAGATTAGTGGGCCCGAATTTATCGCAAGTCCAAGACTGGCGGGCCTAGATTTATCGCCATCAAACGGGCTGAATGGCTCTAAGTCTCGAAAGGGTTCAGATCCACGAACTTAGAGACTTACTCGGGCCCGGACTCGAAAGGGTATTAAGCAAGCCTAGAGATCCGAGGCACTCGGACTCGAAAGGGTTCGGATCCACGAACCTAGAGATTCGAAGCACTTGGCTTCAAACGGATTCATACGCAATCTAGAAGTCGCTCCGTTAATGAGTCCCAGAACACTTGCGGGCTCGGAGCTTTCCGGGATCTACGCACCAGAACCATGGGCGTAATGGAGTTCGAACAAAGGACCCGATCCCGAGGACGGTGAGTGGAGATAAATTCACTCTTCGGTTAAACTAGCCTATACCCGGGTCGAGGTGGCACGACCCCGGGGGGTCTATGAGACTCGGCAATATTTTGCGGCAGGACGTCCTCTGGGACTACCCCTGACCCTTTGGGATGATTGGGGATCATTTGTTAGGTGTGGCTAAGAAGAAGGGTTCGCCGAGGGATTGATCTCCTCTTCGGGGTTTTCTCATCCTCGGAGAAGTCACCTCCTCGGAGAGGAGACCTTCCTTTGTTTAAGACTGATGAAACTATTTCTCTATAAAATTTTGAAAAAGAGTGAAACAAAATTATATAAACTGTTGATTTGTTCAAGACTGATGAAACTATATATATATATATATATAAACTGTTTCTGGGTTTTCCTTATTTTCTATAAAATTTTGATTTGTTCTTTGGTTTTGGTTAAGATACAGGTTGATTTTCTTGTTGTTTTAGGTTCTTTGTAAATTTTTTGGTTGATTTTAGGTTTGATCTTTTTTTTTTGTTTTAGGTTGATTTTCTCACCATTTCAGTCAGATTCAGAGAAGAAGAAGAAGGGAAGGGGAGGGATGGAACGACGTCGTTTTGGGAGGGATTGATCTCAACCCTTGATTCGATTAGTGGGACAAGTGTCGCGCTCTCATAAATTCACTCTACCAGATCACTCTAGGAATTCAGTCTAGAGGATCCCAACGCATACTTTTCTCCATAAAGATAACCATACAATCTGATGTTACAAGTGGCAACCAGTGATTGGGAGATGGAAAGAGCTCATGACATTGCACGAGATTCTTGATACATTATGCATCAAAAAAAAATTCATTTACGGTGAGTGGTTCACAGAATGCCACATGGGTATGCAATATCAAGCTCCAAAAATGTCATCAACCAATAGGAATGGAAATAAAGATCTCCAAAGATAAGGACCCTTTGGCAATTCGAGTAATATTAATACATAAGCATGTATCCCATGAAACTCAAGCCAACAACCACCCTTTTATTTGCAGCTGTTTCTTGAACTACTACTGTTCTTTCAATAGTTTTCATTTCACCTCTCAGAAATGGCTGCGTCTACCATGGCTCTCTCTTCACCATCTTTTGCCGGAAAGGCTGTGAAAATTGCCCCGGAGGTTCTTGGTGGTGGAAGGATCAGTATGAGGAAGACCGGCAAGCAAGTCCCATCTGGAAGCCCATGGTACGGTCCAGACCGAGTCTTGTATTTGGGTCCATTATCTGGTGAGCCCCCATCCTACCTCACTGGGCAATTCCCTGGTGATTATGGTTGGGACACTGCTGGGCTTTCAGCTGATCCAGAAACTTTTGCCAAGAACCGTGAGCTCGAGGTGATTCACTGCAGATGGGCCATGCTTGGAGCTTTGGGTTGCGTCTTCCCAGAGCTTTTGGCCCGCAACGGTGTCAAGTTCGGTGAGGCTGTGTGGTTCAAGGCCGGTGCCCAAATCTTCAGTGAGGGTGGGCTTGACTACTTGGGCAACCCTAGCTTGATCCATGCCCAAAGCATTCTGGCCATCTGGGCTTGCCAAGTTATCTTGATGGGTGCTGTTGAGGGCTACCGCATTGCTGGTGGACCGCTCGGGGAGGTCACCGACCCGCTCTACCCCGGTGGAAGCTTCGATCCATTGGGCCTAGCTGATGATCCAGAGGCTTTTGCAGAGCTCAAGGTGAAGGAGATCAAGAATGGAAGACTGGCCATGTTCTCAATGTTTGGGTTCTTTGTTCAGGCAATTGTGACAGGAAAGGGACCATTGGAGAACCTGGCTGACCACCTTGCTGACCCTGTTGACAACAATGCATGGGCTTATGCCACAAACTATGTACCAGGAAAGTGAAGAAAACTTTGTACTGTGAGCCCCATCGAAGAGGTTTGTACCAGGAAAGTGAAGAAAACTTTGTACTGTGAGCCCCATCGAAGAGGTTTTCTCAACTATTTGATAGTGAATTTGAGAGTGTGCCTCGTGTGATGTAAAATGTAAATTATGTGCACTATTCACCTGAATGTTGTTATATTTCGTATTTGTTTTTCATTTTCTTGTTTTCTTTTCCCTCAAATGAATTGGTTGTACTGTTTAATTTGGAAAAAAAAAAAAAAAAAAACCCCAAATCAAACCTCATGCTGATTAAACCACCAGGGTGGTGATTCAGTGGTTCTTCGCCTCCACCTCCACGCAAGTTGTTCGGGTTGGACACTCAGGAGTGCAAAGTCTTTGGACATACGTTGTACTCATGTCACAAACATCTATGACCTTTACTATGAAGTGGGTGTAGAGCCCACTATTATCTTGGCAGAGGTCATTTCCTTTGAAAGGAAATTGGATTAAGAATAATGTTTTAGAGCACTAAATTGGGAGCTTTAGAGTATCACTAATGATGTGGCACAGTGGCTCCCACCAAAGTGATGTGATATTTTGGCTTGAGTTTGTTTGTTTTTTTTTTTTTAAACTCATTAGAGCTATTAGTGGTCCAAAAATTAGTGGGATGAATCACCACTCATTAGATTAAATCTGACTATTAACTAGTTAGTTAAGGCTAAGAAATGCAGAAGTTATAATATTCCCCACAAAACTTCTTTTTCTTTCTTCAAAAAAAAAAAAGAAAATCATGCTAATTAGGCTTTCATTTTCTTGTTTTGAACTCCTAACCTCACTCTTAGTAAAAATAAATAAATAAAAATGAACCTACCTTTTTGGCTTTTACTTTAGGAAGATCAAAAGATGATGATTTAAAATAAATAAATAAATAACAGTAATAGTAATAGTAATAAAAAATAGAAAATAAAACTCCAGTTACTTTAATTAACTTCAAAAAAATAACTATATATAGGGATAGGGCTGTTAATGGATTGGATTTAATCTGAATCTGACCCGAATCTGATTCGAAAATCCGAATCCATTTATAACAAATTCAATCTGATCTGATAATCCGATAATCCGATCCGATTATTCTCAATTTGAATGAAGAAAACACAAAATGAAAAAAAAAAATTCATTTTATATAAAATTGTAGCTCAATAAATAAATAAATTGATCAGATCGGATTATTGGATCGGATATCCAAAAGCATCGGATTCGGATTTGGATATCTATAATTGGATATGGGTTAAACGGATTCGGATCGGATTCGGGTTTGTCTTAATCGGATCGGATTCGGATTTTGACAGATCCAATCCGAATCCAATCCATTTATAGGCCGATATGGGGATGGTCACAGGTTGGGTTCAGAACGGACACATCGAGGGGTGACAGAAGCAGGGCGGGTGCAGGGCAGGAGGCGGGTTAATTTTGTAAGTTAAAAAATAAAAAATATTAATAAAAATTATAAATAATTTAGTATATTACGAATAATACTTTATACGTAATGATAATTATATTATATAAGATAGAAAATAAATGAATAAAAATTAATATTAAGTATAATATTTTAGTGTTTTAATTTTATTAAAATGTAAAATATATATTATAGACATATAAATATATTTAATATAATCGAGGCGGGGTTTGACTGAAACGGGGCAGGGGAAGCAAAACCAGTCCCCGTTCCACTTCTTAATCAGGATGGGAAAAATCTATGCAGAGCAGGGTGGGGGATGCGATGTGGAGTGGGACGGAAAAAATGACCATCCCTATATATATATATATATATAACCACTTTACCAATATAAGCATAGCGATAACTAGGGATGCAAACGAGTCGAGCCGAGCTTTGCTTAGTTCAAGCTGGTTCATTTGCTTATCGAATTTGTTTATTGAGTTCGAGTTTGATTCAATTCGATTCGATTCGATACGATTTATTTATTTATTTTTATTATTCAAATAAAAAATATTATTTATATTATTTAATACATAAATAATGTATTTATGCTATTATTTATAAATAATGTATAAATAATATATTTATTATGCAATTTAAATATATATAAACGAGTTAAGTTTGACGAGTCGAACTTATACAAGTTCACATTCGACTCGTTTAATAAACAGACCTAATATTCAAGTTTAAATTTGACTCGTTTACTAAACGAGTCGAACCGTGACAAATTACGAACCGATAACAAACATCCAATTGGTTGTCGTCTTCATTTTGACCAATATTATCACCTTTCAGTCTTTTCGTCGCATAATTTTGAGCATAAGCATTAAGACTCAAAGGAAATTATCAAAATCTTATCATTATCAACGACTAAACTTATACTGTTAACATCAATTTTTTAATTCAATCTAGCAAAAAAAAAAAATTCATTTTTTTAATATTATTTTTACAGCTTTATGTCTATCCATAAAATTGTAGAAATATTTGGTCATAACAATTTTAAATTGAAAAATTTATAGAATCTTAACTAAAATTGATTATGTCACATGAACGATTAAGTACATTAGAGTATCCGTATCAAACTAGCTAAAATCATTTTTTAGCTAAATTAGTGATACTGTTCATCAAAAATGGGCTGCATCAGTCTCGTTACTGTTCATCGCTAATAGACGAGTGTTACAATACCTCGCTACAATAAGTGAGGTGTTGTTCATCGCTACAACACGGAGATTAGTGTTACCGGATGTCCACCTCGACGTCCAGCCGGTCAACCAGTCAACGGCCATTTTTTTTTTTTTTGTGTGCATTTTTTAAGAATTATTTGATTGTTAACTCATCAATTTAATAAAAATAAAAAGAATAACAAACATAATTTCATCGCTAATAGACGAGTGTTACAGTACCTCGCTACAATAAGTGAGGTGCTGTTCATCGCTACAACACGGAGATTAGTGTTACCGGATGTCCACCTCGACGTCCAGCCGGTCAACCAGTCAACGGCCATTTTTTTTTTTGTGTGTGCATTTTTTAAGAATTATTTGATTGTTAACTCATCAATTTAATAAAAATAAAAAGAATAACAAACATAATAAGAAAATAATATTTTAATAAATTTAAGTTAGAATAGAGAGTTTGATGTAATAAGTACTGAAGAGGTGACTAGCTAAAATAGTGAAATAGCTTTTTTAGCTATAATTTGACTAAAATTTTGAAGAAGCTGATTTGGATGCTCTTAATGATATTATCGGGTGAAATTAATATGTTAAGAAAAATTGAATATAAAATTTAATTATAAATTACATTTTCTGAGAGAAAAATAAATTTAAAATAAAAATTATAACATTAAAAAATATTTTAAAAATTCCTTTAAATTTGGGGCGCTCTGGCGAAAGTCCAAATTTCAATTTTGTTTGACAAAAGGTTAAGGTGCCCGAAATACTTTGTCCAAAACGACAAACTTAAACAAAATGACCCAAATATGTGTATGTATATATCATATACACGGTTCAATACACAAAATTCCTCACACAGTCAGACACACACACACACACACTCTCTCTCTTCTCTTCCTTTCCAAACCCTAATCCTTTTTCTCGGGCCTTGTCATGACCCGAACCCGCCCCCATGGGTTAAGGACATAACCGGCCAGTAATCCTGAGATTACCTACGGCCTCAAACTAAAACAAACGTAACTCAACTGAGTAAATGGGCCAAACAGAAGCACAAATTTAAAACTTTATCTATAGAGCCGTGCTTATATGCACTCAAAACAAACCATGCACATATACATTAATAACCCACAACAAGTATAGTATCACAAAATCCTTTACAGACAGGATCATCCAAACTGAGTCAACCCATATCAAAACTATATACAGATGTACACAAAGCCCTTGCCAACAAGACAAAATATAAATACATAACAAAATGGCAAGGATGGGTCTCGTACGTGAGACACAAGGCTGACTCTCCAAAACTCATGTTGTTCCTGGCAGACTTCACTGGGGCTGGGTTTGGACTTCCCTCGGCTCACCTACAAACACATGAATGAGCGTAAGCAACAGCCTAGTAAATAATATCGAAAACATAAGTTACATAAGTTACATAAGCAATATGAAGAACAACAAACTCCGAATAAGGCCCAATGCATATTTCTGCTTAACATATATACACTTATACAAAATTCAGATCAGATGACTGTAGTTCCAAACATACTGGCCTTTGGCCCAATCAGATTTCCATTCATGCCAAAACGGCCTTCAGCCCATTCATTGATGTCAGAACGGCCTTCGGCCCATTCATTTTTTTCAAAACGGCCTTCGGCCCATTCATTTACGTCAAAACGGCCTTCGGCCCATACATTCATGTCAAAACGACCTTAAGTCCATTCATTTATGTCAAAACGGCCTTCGGCCCACTCATTCATGTCAAAACGACCTTCGGTCCATTCATTTTCATCAAAACGACCTTCAGTCCATTTATTTCTATCAAAACGACCTTTGATCCATTCATTTCTATCAAAGCGACCTTCGGTCCATTCATTTCTATCAAAACAACCTTTGGTCCATTCATCTCTATCATGTCAAACTTTTGTCCACAATCCCAATTAGCAACTCATAAAGCTAATAAGGGAAATCAACAATTGGACATTGACAAGCTTTCAAATATCGATATTACTCACAGTGATCGGCTTGTGGATTTTTCCTGGAGCTTGACCTTACACGTTTCATGAACACAAAAGGGGTCACTAACAGTTCAATCCGTTCTTTGATTCACATATTCCTCTTTAGCCTTTATTCTTATTTCATTAACTCATTCACTATGCTTAACATATGCCTAAGAGTGCTTACAAGTGAACGAGAACGGAAAACGAAACACAGAACGAGCATACAAAATTTCAGAGAATAGGGTCCCCGCTCGAGCATCAACTTCCCCGTTCGAGCGGACACTTAAGGCCTGCAAAAGTACTGGTTGCATGAAAAATAAGCTCGAGCGTGTAATAGAGCGCTCGAGCGGAAGGCCTGTCTACAAAAACTCCACGCTCGAGCGTGATATAGCCCGCTCGAGCGGACATCTAATTCTGCAAAAAGTGCTGGGAGCACGATTTTCCCGCTCGAGCGGCACTTACCCCGCTCGAGCGGACATAAAAAATCTGGGTTTTCCAGATTGAGTTCTTGAGCTCCAATTCAATTTTCCAGCTACATTACTTGCATGCAATGGCTCAAATCTCAAATATAATCATACTAACATGGCGCCAATGCAAGATTATAACATTATGAAGCTCAATTTCTTGATTTATC